TCATTGGATCGTCAAGTGATGAATTGAGTGCTGTCATACACTGGCACAACATTGGACCAGTAGTTCTTTTTATTATTTGGGCAAATAATATTTTTGTTACAAAGCACTATGCTACAAGAACTAATAATATTTCTTCTTTGTATCATTTGCTTTGCAGTAATTTTAGCCAGTCACAGTCTCTTTAACAGTCATCTTGACACAATTCCAGTGAACACAGCTAATCCCATCAAACTGATAGTTAGAGTATTGTGTTATGCCAGGAAGCACAAGTATCCTGAGAATCGTAGTGCTCTGACCTACTGGGAGGAAGAGGCTCCTTCAAGACTGGACCCGGGTAAAGATAAATATGGCAGACCATTCACTGAGGAAGAAGTAGAAGATGTGAAGACTATTCTAAAACTAATTCCAATATTGATTGTCAATGGTTTTGCTGTATCCTTTAATGGAGATATTGTTGCAGACACTAATAGGAAGTACTATGGTTGCCTCGAGCTACGTGAAGGAAACATAATTAGTGGTGTGTATGTTTTCATCATTCTCCTTCACCAGTTTATCATTTATCCTTGCTTTTACAAATATATTCCAAGCATGCTGAAAAGGATAGGATTAGGAATGGGCCTCATTTTTGCTGTTAATTTTTACTATACAGTGCTAGCATTTATTGGCAACTATCCCATTGGGGATTCATTTCACTGTCTTACTGTGCTAGATGGAAAGTCAGTTACCATAACACACTCCTGGTATATCTTCAGTGATATAATAGTGGGAGTTTTTCTATACATCAATAATGTTGTATTAGTTGAATTCTTCGTTGCTCAGTGTCCAAAGTCAATGAGGGGGACTATTGTAGGGCTATGGCTCTGCTTGAGGATTTTAAGAGCTTATGGGATTCTTTTATTTCTACCATTTCTTCATTATATTAAGTCAGGATTGCCACTGGATCGTGGTTTCTATTTTTTTCTCTCAAGAGATATATTTTCTGTCATTGCTTTTGTGATTTATGCTTTTCTTGCAAAACGGTACAAGTTTCGTGTAAGGGAAAATGAGATAAATATTCATATGATTGCAGAGAATCATATTATTCGTAACATTGAGCAAGAAGAAGAAAACAGGATAATGGAACGTGATTATGCTTCGAACATTACAATTACTGACAGTAGCTGAAAGTGAAACTTGTCTATATGTCATAGCAAAGCAATTGTTTATCATAATTACACTTAGCTTTTACTTTTAATATTATAGTGTGTTTTGTTAAGAGTATAGTGTAATGTTGATTTAATAAGGTCTTGTAAAAAGATAAACTAACAAACTTCTTTATAATTATTAAAGTACAATAACAGCAAACAGTATGCTTTAAGTTATCTTATATCTTGATGTTGTAGTTACTGATTGGAGCAACAAGCTATAACTTTTGTTCTTTTTACAAAATATAAATAAAAATTAAAATTGTTTACTAAACATATTATTCATATGTTTCATCTGTTCCTTAATGCTTAGTTTCAATTTCAGTATTTAGATAGTCTTTATATGTAATTTGCCTGTGTAAAAAGTTGATCAGTGTGACAAAGATGATTTTGCTCCTCTTCCTCCTATTATTACTGATTCAAGGATTTGCTTCGAAAGAGATATACATTTCATCCAATGGAACCAGTGAAGCTTCATGTGGTTCTATTCACTCTCCCTGCTTGTCTCTCTCTGATATCACTCAATGGGAGAATGATACAGTTGTCATTATAGAGGGAAGCATTGTATTGGACCGTGTCATTGAAATACATGCAATTCATAACTTGACTTTCACTTCTTCATCTGCCAAT